TCTGATAAAGCTAAACTTATAATTATAATTTAACAAAATTTAGTAAGTCGGTTGTCATTTATATTAACCATTATCTATGACCTCATAACCTTCTAGTTTCTTTCTTGTTCTTCCTGCTCGTTTTTTATCCTTCCTTCTTCTTTTATGTGTGAAACAGTGAACATTAGGCTAAAATTATTGTCTTCTCACGCATCGTTTGTTAGTTGCAAATTGATGTTAGCAGTTGTACGTGTCTGTATTTTTGTTTGAATTTGCAATGTATGTGCCATAATCTGACGTTCGCAGTACCGGGCAACGTCAGTCTTTACCGATTGTGGTTTCAGCTGATGCGTTCTGGTTTATCCTAGTTAACCAGTTGTTTTCATTGTGTGTGCTCGGCAACAACCCCTCTCATCGATAGTTTCTCAACCGCTTGGGTCTATTTACTGCTACTGCTGCTGCCGCCGTTCCTGTTGCTGACGTTGCTATTCTTCATTTTTTACTTTTATTCCTTTGATCCGTTGCTATAGCTGCTGCGTTTCTGCCTTCTTTCCATCGGTCTATTTTATGTTTGTTGTCAATGGTTATTCTATTTTTATCTCTCTCAATTCTTACTTTTTTTTTTTTCCAAACGTCAAACAGCATCGTCTTTTCAACCAGAAAATTCATATCTGTTTTCAGCCTTGTCAACACAAGTCTGACTAATCCTTCATCAAATCGAATAACCAAAAAAAGATTTAAACAGAATTTCAATACCCGGAAGAGGTCTGGGAAAGACAAACAAAAATAAAAAAACAGAATGAATGAATTCGGTGAAATATATTATGACAGTCAAAACTAGGACTATAATATTTATTTGTGTGACAGTTTTTAAATGAAATTAACGTATTGTTCTGCGCGATACTTATTCTGTTCATTCATCTCAAATCACTGTTTCTTTAATATAAAAATCTTGTCTACCTAGGTACACGGTTTAATTAATTATAAAGTAAAGTCTGAAAGGATTTAAAGGAAGGATTTCTTTACCCTTATTGATGATTTTACTTTGAGATTACAAAATTCTCTTCATTGAAATTTTTTTCTCGTCTACTACGGGAAATTAGTTTTTCCACTGGTTTTCATCAGCAGTTTTGAGTAGCCATTGCCAGTAAATGTTGTTAAAGTTGAGCGGATGAAGAGCAGGAATAATTTTTAAAATAATTCATTATAGGCGTTCTTATGATGGAAATTTTCTTCAAAAAACTGTTTTTGTTTCTCATTTTTGAGCTTATCATTCTATGGGCGTCAAAAATCAGGACTATCAAGAAAATTTTTGGAGCAGCAGTGATTTTGAAAATAATGAACGACAACAGAAATTGTTGAACTTACTTGAAGATAAAAGTTCAGAAAGCTTTTTTGGCGTAGCATTAATTTACTGACCAAAATTCTATACATCACTTTTTCTTCTTTCTTTTCTTTTTCTAAAATGATAAAAGTATAACAGATAAAATGGATGCTGACTAATTTATCGTCATTTTTATCCACAGTCGTTTGATGTTGAGATTGGTACATTTGTTGGAACTTTCCAACAAAAAATTTTATCAACGTATAAACAAATGAAGCAAATGTACTGTTGCAATGAAATAATGTATGATTGAAATTTGATTGCAGCAGTTTAGCAGTTAAGGATTTGTAAATTTTTAATAAATTAAATAACGCAGGAAAAATTTTTAGCAAGATTTTTCAGATATTTATTCAGTCTAGCAAAATTATATTGTAATATTAAATCAAATAAAAAAAGAAAGAGTAAAAAATTTTTTTGCTTCTCACTATAGCAGACGGTTTATCAGTTTCAGATATCATAACAATTCTTACAACTGCCTTTAAATGACCATCTATAAACAAGGAAGTAGCTAAAGCAGAAGGTGAAGAAAAAGGAATAGGGTGTAATGAAAAAGAAGGAGAAAAAAATTAGAGCATAACTTCATTGTTTACAACAGGTACTTTAGGGTCTGCAACAATTTTTTGTAAGAAATATTCCTATTGAAACAGTTTTTAATAATTTTTATGAGACATTGAATTATATATAATTTTAAAAACCAGCAAACTCACCAAAATTTTTATTGATTGTAAACCGCATATGTTGCTGCTGTGTTAATTGTGTGTATAAGCGACTTATATTGCTTTCTTATCAAACAGAAGAAGGAAAAAATGTTTAAAACTTTAATTGTTTCAATGAGGAGCAAAATTGGTGACTCATCTTGTTTTACTTATATAACTAAATTTCTCGGCTATTGTTAGCGTTTAAGCCAACATTACCGACCTTACTTTTATGTTGAAGTAATTACTGGACTAGTCGTTATTATTACCAATTGACAATTTCCGGTTAGTTTTCTGTTTTAATGTGTAGTTCTTGCTACCGTCTTATTGGTATCAAAAAATCCTTCTCTTTTTGCTTTTGTTACCACTTCCTCGAACACTCCTCTGCTTCCTTTCCTTACTGTTACCTCTTTCTGCAGTTATTTCTTTCACTGTAGTTGGCCTGGTCATCACTTAACTAAGCAATAGTTACTTAGATAAGTTAGCTGGGTGAATGGCAATGTTGCTTTGACCGTTTAAAATACAAATCTTATTTCTTTTTACCTTCTCTGTAATTTTTCCTTCTCTTTTTTCTTTATACAAGGAGGTGCCAATATAACAAGAATAACTTTTATTTTTTAGTTACTAGTAGTCAGCTTTCTACGGAGGCAAAGTTAGTTTTTTTTCAATGCCCATTTTTTTAACACATTTCATAAAACCAACAATAAAATGCTGATCTTTGCACGACGAAGAAGACCAGCATAACAGGAACGTAGGAACTGCTTCCTTCCACTGAAACTTCCATTTTCTGTTCAAATGCAAATATGTGTTTGTGTGTGTCCGTGTGTGTCTGTTCGTGTGTGTGGGTGTGTTTGTGGGTGCATTTGTGTGTATGGCTGTGTGTTTGTCTGTGTGTCTGTGTTCCTCTGTATATATATATATATATATATATATATATA